ATGTGGAGACGATGGGGGGGTGGGGGGGGGGGGGGGGGGTTAACCAGACAACTTTACACTCTGTGTGTGTGAGTGTGTGTGTAAACATGAGACTACCAGGGTCAGCCAACCCTGAGAGATTGTGCGTTGAGGTGTTTCTAATACGAGTGTGAGAGAAACTGAACCATCACTGATCCTGACACACACACACACACACTGACACACACACACACTGACACACACACACACTGACACACACACACACTTCCCCTCAGGACGACGTCACTGACAAAAACATTAGGTTCTGAGAAGTCATCAGAACAAGGGGGGAGGAAGGGGGAGNGGGGGAGACGGTGCCATTGCTCCGAGACACCATGACGCTGATGCCCGTCTCCACAAAGGGCACAGAGAAGTCGATGACCTCTGACCTCTCCTCGTTGATGGTCAGTGAGCCGACTGCCATGATGGCCTTCTTGTACACCACCTGGGGGCAGTGAGAGGAGAATCACAACAAGTGACCCAGAGAGCTGCCCCATCAACACCAGCGCCACCTATGGACCCCCGGTGACAACGCCCCGAGACGGAACCTGAACTGAGGAATTAGTGAATACAAACGTCTTCCTGAGGACGACGGACATTTACAGAGACGACCACTGGAAAGAAACACGTTGACATTTAGGGAAATATTGTCCATGTTCACTCAGACTGGACCTCTGACATCTGGACGTAAGACAGAGGACAGACAGAGACAAACCTCTCCGACCATGCCGTTCCAGACGTTGTTGATCTTCTTGCCGTGTTTTCCGTTGGTAACCAGGTAGAGGTCGTAGGTGAACTTGACATTCCTGGCAATCTTCTTCAGAATATCAATGCAGAAGCCTTTACAGCACTGCTTGATGTAGGAGCCTCCAGAGGTGGTGTTACTGAAACACACACACACACACACACACACACACACAGGTGTGTGTGTCAGTGAACAGTCAACATCCTCACACCTCTACTCCCTTCATCTGTTCCTTTTACTGGTTTTTTTAAGTTACCTTAAAATCACAA